TCAAAACAAGCTCTCCATGCAAAGATAGGGAGCAAATACATAAGCAGGGTTGCCGTGTTTTCAGTTTTGGAGTCCCCAAATAAAGTGGCAACCCTCCTGATGTATTTGCTCCCTATCTTTGCATGGAGAGTTTGTTTTGATGTAGAGGTGGACTCTCAGGGTAGGGTGGGATATCCCATCCATTTTGGTCTCAACTTGAGAGCTTTTTTAAAGCTTGGGAGTTGATTTCAGAGAAAACCAGTGGTACCATCGTGTTTTTCGCGGACTTTTACATAAGAATCAATGGTCAAATCGCAAATTCCTCACACATACAACACCTCCATTCCGAGACTCCTGCGTCACGCCGGGATGATTGATGAGCAATTGTTGAACAACTTATCACAAATAATTTCTAAAATAAATTACTAAACTCGAAAGATACAAATCAACTGCACTGACAAAATGAGTCTGTAGTTATAATTCATTTTTCTCATTAATATCGCGGCGTACACAAACGTCAATAATTAACAGGTGAAAAGGTAAGATTTCCCTTCATTTTCACGTGCTACCATATACCTACTTCGGTGTTCGAATAGTTGCGTGGATCGTGTCCGTTTTAACTAGTCTCGATTCATAAAATATTCTCATAAAAACTACCGTGTACATTTAAAATATACGGGATTTATTTAGCGGTTTTGAAAGTACACGAGAAATTATCCGTGATTTTCATCTCGGTATCGCGACAATTACCCAATTTTTCCGGCGGTTTTTCAAAAAATTGAGAAATTACGCGTTTATCATCTTATCACCGCGGCAAATACGCAATTTTTCCGGCGGCTGTGTAGGAATATGAAAAATTACGCGTATTTAACCTCAATATAGCGGCATATACGCGATAGTTCCAATGGTTCACGTGGTTTTGTAAAAACAAAAAATTACGCATTAATAATTGACTGTTGATGCTAACGAAAGACGGCTCAAGCGCTCAACTCGACTTGGTCTTCGTATCCTATCTCAGGCAAGGGTATAAAAATCGCCTTCGAAACGATACTTATGCAATCCGCCGACTTCGGTGTTCGTATAGTTGCTGTCCAAATGTATTCGATACCCATCGTGTTTCAGTTTGATGTAAGTCACTATCGATGCGCGCGCTTGTTGGGTGGTGCCGATCTAAATTAAAAGGCGCTGCTAAATTTCGATCGACCAAAAATCGCTGACAGGGTATTGAATGAATGTCTTTCGGCGCCTGCGCGCAATTCGGGTTGATCTAAACTGAACGTATTTATAATAAAAGGACCTATGTGCATAGGGATTGCCTGCGACATGGTTCCTTTTGGTACAAATACGTCCAACTTAGAAGCGCCTCTTTATTTTGATCGGCAACACTCAACAGTTCCAACGATGAGCCATTTTGATGGGCTAATTTTGATCGTGAGAACCAATCTTACGAATCTCTCCACCTCGCGGCTGACCCATTGCACAAACCACACTACTTTTTGCTGACCTGAGAGATACGATCATCGAAGTAAACCAAATTTGCCACAGAATTTAGAAATAAAATTCCCTGACATTTCCCCGATTTCCAGGACACACTTTGCTATAATTCCCTGCCGGATGGATAAAAATGCGTGATTTTAAAACAATTTCACGCAAAATTTGTTGTTTGAAAAGTGAAACCTACTGTAGAAAGCAAATAAATGGGACTTAAACTTTGTTCTGGACAGTGTTGCCACAGAATTCGAAAATGAAATGCCCTGACATTTCCCTGATTTCTCTGTCACATTTTGGTGAAATTCCCTGACAATTGAGGATATGCCAGATGCTTAAAAAGACACGATTTGAAATAGTTTTCAGGCATTTGTTGTTCGAAACGTCAAACCCATTCGAGAAAGGAAATACTAGTGACTTGATAATTTATCCCTGACATTTTTGTCATCTTCTCTGACATTTCCAGGTTTTTCATGGCTTTATAAAATTCCCCGAAGTTTCCCGGTTTTTCCAGTATTCCCTGACTGTGGCAACTCTGGCTAGACACTTTCGTCATTTTCCTTAACATCTCCAGATTTTCCCTGACTCTTTAAAATTTCCTGACATTTTCCGGTTTTCCCTGACTGTGGCAACCCTGTAAACCTCCATGCACTATGACCCCTTGATAGCGAAATAATCCTCATTCTTGTCAGAAACTGAATAAAACATTCAGCTTAAAACATTGGGGGATGCTTCCTTAACTGTGGAATTGACGAAGGCGATGGGACAGCGAAGGGTTGCGCGACTGACAGAGAAAGGGATTCCGAGGGAGAGTCTGTGGGCTGATTATTGAAATTGATAGACAAAGAAGACACAGGAAGTATGGAGCGATCCTATTGGTTGAAATGAATGGTTTCTATAGACTAAGGGAGAAAATGATGGACTAACTATTGGGTCTCTAATGGGTTGCTGTTAATTAGTCTATTACCTACTTCCTTTGTCTATTGCAACCACACGCTTCCACGAATAGGATCTCTCCATATCCCTTTTGTCTTCTTTGTCCATAGCTTTGTCTATCAATTTCAAAAATCGGCCCGCAGGAGACAGGAACATTTGGCGACCATGGGCCATGGCCCGCGTCGGCGTGGCGAGAACATAGATGTAATACGGTGACGTCATAAACAATGTTCACCCTTTATGGACATAGGGCGACAACTTTCCAAACCAGTCCCATATTCAGACCCGACGACTTTGCTCGGCGCTTTATCGACAGCGGCGTGTCGTGCTTTGCGATGTATCGATTAATCTGCCATTTGAACCTATGGAGAAGGATCGATTATCAGAGTATATCTTAATGATCGATTCTTTACCATAGCTTCAAATGGGAAAAAATCGATTGTAAATGATTCACGTTTCGGCACTGGAATTATCAATCCATCACCGTGGCTAGCAAAGTGTACTCGAGTTCCACTGCCCTGTTCATAGGAAACTATTGATTTTAAGCCGAAATTTGGCAACGCTGATAATCACCTCATTCAGTCAATCGAGTGGAGTTGCCTAATGAGGCGAAAAATCAGCAAATTTCTTACCGTTGGTTTGTAATTTTTCATGCAGTTTGGCATCGGACTGAAGTTCATGTGAACCGGTCCATTGGAGAAGCCCCTAATTTTTTCTTGTTGTTGATGCAGTCAGTCAGTGGAGCAATCTCTACTGCAAGCCCTCCCCCCCTTACCCTTCTTTCTCCCTAATATTTTTAGGCTCTACCAGTCCAGTAAGGAAGGCAATGTGATTTTTTGGAGTGTAATATCTTCACAAATAGTATTTCGCTGCATGGGCAAATATTGAAACAGAGTTGCAATAGATTAATTATTACGTCATCGGGATTGCGATGGTTTTACATCATGTGATCAATGGATTTCGATTTTAAACGATCAGACGAAAAAAGGCGACTTGTGATGCAAAGAAAAATAATTGCAACTTATTTCATGGCAATGATTCAAAAAGAGGAGTTCCTTCAATTAGTAGATAGGCAACACACACAACACTTCGATACAGGAGCATATTGCATGATATTACCATGCAATCCCAAGAAAGCAACCTGTCCTGCGGTAGGTGCATACTTGGAAAAATGTCTCGCAAAAATAAAGTCGCTCTGGTTGACAAACGCTGAGGTCTGAGGTATTGAACAAATTTTTACTCAGCCCATGGCCGGATTTACCTACTTGCCGCCCATGAGCCGCCTGTACTTTGCCACCCTCTTCTCATTCATTTTGAAACATCAATGAAAACCATCATGTGAACGTGCCGGAGGGAGAAGGGTGCATAAGTCGCGTTCACTCGTGTTGGACACATTTGTTGCGTAAGCCCTGTCAACACTACTAGCAAAAGTTAGAGGAACTTCGCGCGAAAGTTCAGTTCCGTAAACCTATTTCTGTGGGGACAAGGCCTGTCATTTGTAAGAAATGAACTAAAAAATTAAGAAAGAACAAACATACATGTGGTTTAATAATTTTAACTTCCGCCGCCGTGCCGCGCTGACTATTCTGTGTTTGGCGCAATGCGTGAAGTATTCATGTAGTCTTGTAGGCACTGTGCGTTTCACGCCGGCGCCGCGCCGACCGCTGTTGACCGTACTGTGTTTGACGCAATGCGTGAAGTATTCATGCAGTCTTGTAGGCGCTAATATGTGTTACATGCCGACCGCCGCGTCGAGGGCTTCTCCTTTTCATTTCAAGTCCTCGTCATCATTTCTCTTTGCGTCGCGCCGCTCCAGGCCAAATTACGTGTTTGGTTTCTCTCTTAACTCGACTAATTAAAGGTGCGCAGTCTTTAGTATCACCGAAATACGACAAAATTAGAAATTAATGAACTCTCAGGAAATGAGAGATTTTGTCACCTTTTCTTGTTTGTAATTTTTTTCTAAATCCGATTTTTTTGTACCTGCATTTAAAAAAATTGCAAAATTTGCCGCCCCCTAATTTTGCCGCCATGGGCCGCGGCCCATGTGGCCATCCCCTTAATTCGGCCCTGATTCAGCCTCTGGTATTTTCTTTTATTTCAATAAAATTATCGGGATCCAAAATATCACATACCATCAGGGGCTTAATGTGAATAGTGAATTTTGCATTTTCATACTTTTGGCTTCGTTTTTCTGTTTTGGATTTTGCTACACCTTAAAAACGAAACCAGTCTTTTAGGAAACTTGTTTCTTATTAATAGATGTATGTTTACTTTTCGTGTTGATTCACCATAATATGTACATCTACGGATAAATCATTTTTACAATGTGTTGGTGATTTTTGTGGTAAAATATTTTTGTTTCACCACAATTTTGTTTGCTCTAGGGATTTAACCAAAGTTTTTTATTGAGAGGAGTGTGACACTCAGTTTTTTAAGTCACACTGCTAAAATTCCTATTTTTGAAAAATGGTTTTCTAATTTTTTACATCATTAATTTTTATAAAATTATTTTACCTTGCTTATCAAAATTAAGAGGGGAGAAAAATGCGGGATTAAAAAATTGCTTGGAGATACTAAAATAAAAAGAGACGTTATTCACAATAAACAAAAAAGAAAATATTTATTTAGGTACATAAATACTATTAGGATGGATAAATTTGACAAAATATACTTAGAGATCTATGATAGACAAGGAATAATTTTATGATAGAATATTTGCTTAATTTCCTATGTATACATGTATGGTGAAACTCATTCATACTGGAACATATTCTAGTCTATGGAATGACTTTATCTTTTAATCAAGAAATATTTTGGAAAGTAAGGTTACTTTGTTTATACAAATAGATTGTAATTGTTGACCTTAGTATATTATCATAGTGATATGAGTCCATTTGACAGATTTTCGGATATGGACTTATGAAAGAGAATACATTGATGGGAAACAGCTCCCAATAATGAACTTCTTCAAGTTTGGCTACTTCTGAAAAATTTCTAGAAATGCCCTAGGTAAATAAATTAACTATTGGAAACGATCTATAAAACCCAGTTTCAGATTTGAATTCTGGATATCATATGTAGTATATCACCAAAGTATTGTCATCACAATAAATTATATTACCTCCCTTTTCTAATTCATTTTGAAAGAATTTTTCCTCACACATAATACTTTTCTTATGATTTCCCCCTTTCTTTAAGATTCTCTTTACATCCATTGAGCTACTTAAACAAAAATAGAAGAAATAACGGATTGTGCACTGAATAATCAAGAAAACAAATTGCATTATTTTAAAACAAAGAATTAATAGGAAATAAATGCTAAACATGGCAGAGAATAATTAACAGGGAAAAAAATAAATTAAATAAAGATCTTCAATATGACAGCCAAACATCATCTAATAATAATTCATCCATATCAAGGGAAAATTTGGAGGGATATTTAAAAAAAGACAAAGAAACCGAGGGTGTACAGATTGCAAGTGACCACTTTAAAACAAGATTTAACTGGTACATAAAAATTTGATTCCAATAAATAATAATACAAACTATGATAGTCAAATACATTAATTTATAACTATGTATAGACATAGACCCTTGAAGACATTAAAGTTAAAATTATAGGTGGCACAAAAAAAATAAGTGATTGTGCAGAGCTTGGGTGCGTATTTCTACGGTTTCTATTCTTTTCAATTTAATTATATATATGATAGTTTTGACAAAAAGTAGCTCATATGCCATAATGAGACAGATCTGTGCTGCCACTCAAAGCAGAAACGCCATAAGTCCATTCATATCTTGCAATTTTGTTTCCGATAAACTTTGCTGTTAAACTGCGTACTTAAGTGCTTGAACTTTTCAGTATTAGTCTCCAATGGTACGCTACAGTCACTCTGAAGATATCAGGTTGAAAGTTTGCTGGTTTTCTTGAAATAGAACTTTTTGTCAGGAATTAATTGAAAACTATGGAATAGAAGTTACGGCATTCTTGCAAAGAATGGCAATGTGATGGTACAGGATATATATATAAAAAAAAAACAGATTGTAAATCAGAATGGTAAAAATTTGTGAATGTTTAAAAGTGTATAAAATTTTTGCAAACAAAGCTGATCTTGGAGCTCTCAAGACTTTTGGGGGTAGCTTTCCTGCGGTGCATGAAAAAAGGATAAAAATGACTTTTCATTTAACACCATTGATGAACATTCTCATTTGATCAAATTCAACAAACACACAACAAAGGATCAAGTGATATAGCGAACGCTCAAAATCAAACGAATTTACTTATGCATCATCTCACCAGTACTGTAACTCTAGATTTAAAAAATTTATAAAAATGTTAAGATTTGATTTGATAAATTTAAAGGTTCCAACAATACTTCCGTATTGTTTGAGATTCGAATATTCTTTCTCTTCACAGCATTATGAAGTAAACTACTTTAGAGAAGATTACTACACATAATAGTGAAATCAGCCGTAAAAAAATAAAACAATCAATTTAAAAATGTTTAGGAGGGAAAACCTTGACTAGCTAAAAATAAATCACAATGGTTTAATTGGAGCCAGAATAACTTTGAATATAGTGTCAATGAAAACTCAACATTCCTGCATACTTTATGAGCTACAAATTCTGCAAATGCTAAGATCTAGCAGCATTTACTAAGATAATGCTCAACTCACTTAAAAGAGTCAAATTACGGTAAACAAAGGCGATCATTCATGGTTCATGCAGCCTCAAGAAAAAGTATTATCGTTTTTCAAAACCTCCTTTGTCATGTTTTCTCTACGTGTGGTTGCTTCACATCAAATGCTATGTTACTTCTTAAGAAAGAGCATTTACTACTGAAAATTAATACAGAGTATTTAAGCACTTTCTGAGCATTTTCAAGGCCTAGAAAAAAATGTCAAAATCAGGCTTCTTCAAGGCTGTATGGCGGCATGGACCATGTCCTTTCACTTTCATTGTTTATAGTACATTTAGTTTGGACAACCGGATGAAGACTACGAAGACAAAACCCAAATAACCATAATATCAAGCACCATAGTACCAACTTAAATTCCAATAAGTATTGCAAAATATTACAAGGATGAGCAGAATTTTCTGGAAATGTTGACGCTTTTTTGATTGTTACAAAAACCAAATAAAATTTGGAGGTAAAGTTGAGTGTCTAAGCCAACAAAATGGCTTCCAAAATGTTAGGGTAAAAAGGAATGATTTGGGGGTAGACGAATGCCTAGTACCACACTCAATAAGAAATTCAATCTTATTGTACTAGGTTTTACATTGAGCGAGCTGCATTTCCAGTGTTGGGTGCGGCTGGAGGGGCCTGTACATTCACTGGAATTGGATTCGGATCATTGACTTTTGGGAAATCTTGAGCACAAGCTGTGGCGTAATCTGGAGGTGGTGGTGGGAAATACTTGGTGGCAGCAGCTGCATAGCTCGGCAAAAGAGACTGATTATCCATTGGTGGTTCAATGCAATTAACGGTCCGCAATGCGTTGGTCTGGCGGAGGACGAAGAATTTGTAGCAGTTGAACATTACGCGAATGAAGTACGACTGGAAAAGAGAGAAAATAAAAAATGAGCATGGACGAATGTGACTAACGGAGAACTGAAGCGTTGGAGAGCTAAATTCATAAGAATGAACATGTGCCGACAAAGAACTACTGAAAGGCATGGATTAAAGCCGGCGACAGCCGAACTACATCAGGTGTTGCCATATATTTTTTTTATATTTCATTTTTAAAGTAGAAAACGAAGCAAAGCCAAAACTTTAAGTATATTCTTCATGATCTAGGGTGAATTCACCAAAATTTTAAAGGTTAAGTGGTTTAGTTTTCTGTTGAAAAAGTATACCATGAGAGAAAATCAGGCATTCAGGTTGAATCCATTCAATTTTTTTTTTTTTTTTTTTTTTTACTTATTATTTTTACTATTTTTTTTTTTTTCACCAATTACTAATAAACTTTTATGTTCAGGGATGATAGGAAATAATGTAAACATTATTGAGCGTACAGATCACCTAAAATTTCTAAACAGCAAGATAAATGTATTGTTGATGAAAATATTGTAAGCAATAAACCCTGGTTTGAGGGAAAAGTTGCACTCTGTACAATTGGCGAACTGACTTCCTCAAAAAATTCTTTCCACAGAGAGAAAAGGAGTACAAACTGCTGCTTTAAGATAAAAGGTAAACTACGGTCAACATTTTTTAACAATTAAACAAGTACTGTTAGCTTTGGTGAAAGTTTTTGAAAATATCATCAGAAAACTGATAACACTACCTTCACAAGTAAAGTGGCAACGAACGAGAGGAGTATCAGAATCGTGATCATCCGGGGGCTGAGGTCGACTGGAAAACGCATCATTGATTTGGAAACTATGACTTCCATTACAGGGAAGGAGCAAATGTATCCCATCACAAAGAAACTGCGGATAAAAAAAATTTATGAAGATTACAAGAAATGAAAAAGTTTTAAATTACAAAATTATTTGTATTCTTTGATCATAGAATTAAATTTTCTATCATCGTGCAGATTGACATTTCCTTATTTAAAAAAGGGAACCAAAAATCATGGTGTCTAGAATATCAGATGTATCTTCTGGGAGCAAGCTCTGTAGTGCTTTTTTTCTTCTCTTAAAAAAAATCTGCTTGATAACTTGTGGGCATTTAGGATAGTTGATTATAAAACTAACAAAATAAAACAGGTTGATGTAGGTCAATCTTCGAAAGCTCTGACTTTCATTTGAAAAGCCCTGTGCTTCAAGTCAAGCTACTCCTAACTTCTAAAGAGAGTTCAGCATTTTGTTAAGAATGAGAGTAATTAAGCTACTGAAAGTTAAGTAGTTTAAAAGCTATAGGTAGGGACCTAAAAGTTAAAGGTAGATTTTTTAACTTTGGCCCCCACCCCCCTCCCGATTTGTTCTTGACTTTCTTTGTATTCCTTGTTACCCCTTAAAAATACAACAAATTAAATTAAAACTGGTATGCACATTTCTTCCGTGATCAGTTCAAGATACACCAAAAATAATTGATATATGTACAACCAGCTAAAGTGTAATGACTTATAATGTTGCTGAGAATGTGCTAATTGTGCTACTTGTTCTAAGTCTGACTAAAACAATACGTATGATGTATTCAAAGCACCTACATCCAAAAATATTCTCCTATTTTGTATAAGAGGAGAGGAATTCCCCTCCTCTACATAAAAAGAGAATAAATAAAAAAAAAAAAAACCAAAATGAAAAATCTGCACAATCTAGGCAACGTTACTTCACAACTAAAGCTCTACATTTTTCAAATGCACTTCATGAGATTTAGGTGGAGAGGGTGGGCACAGTTTTATTTAAAAGCATGCAAAAATATATAAGTAACAGAAAGAAAAAAAGGTACTTGCCTGTAGGGATAAAATTAACTGCAACCAGGTTTTTACAATTCATCTCTAACTGCATTACTTGCGTGGGTGGTTTTTTTACAAGCGATTTTTTAAATTTTTGGTAAGCAGCAAAAATATATACATGAGCATAAAAAAATTATAAACACACAAGGCCAATATAAGCTACTATTGATCTTCATAAAAAAAACGAAGGGTAAGAAACACTCAAAACCAGCACTTTGGAGACCAAAAAGGAAAACGAAAACCATGAATGCAAAACCGGAAGAAAATAATTGTAGAGAGATAAGCACGTCAGCTTGCAAGCAGGCTGAGATCAACTACGGCAAATGGTGACAGTCAGGTCAATTTTTTTTCTTCTTTTTTTTTGGTCCATGAGTTTTTTTAAGTTCAAATCGGCATATACAGCAGTAATGAAAGAATTTAAAGTTTTCAACTCCACTTATCAAGTTACGCAAATTACATTTTTGAACAACTTTGAGCATTGAAAAAGAGAGAGAGAAAAAAAAGAGAAAATACACTAAAAAATTCTGTTGCTATGGTGTGAATGTACAAGAATAAGTCATTCTAGTCTGTATGTTTTTACTCCTTTTTTGGGAAAGAAAAATTTTAAAAAAAGTGAGCAGAATTAGAAAGTTTCGACAAAGTGCACAGTGCAAGCATGATAAAGAAAATGCTTCTGGAAAATAAAGCCAACCAGTCCAGAATAATATACACATGTGAAGAAAGAGAGAAAAAAATTGCGAGGATACTGTTAAAAAATTGAACTCCACTCCCAAGATGCAATAACCCCGAGTTACCCAACTAAAGCGAATTATCGTAAGAGCAAAGTTCCCCATCTTTGCTTTATATGCCTTCCTATGGTTCCCACCACATGCCACAACCATTTCATGAGAATTTCATTGACACCTATCCAATTTCAGCAATGCTTTGTTGCGGTTCTTTCATTTGACTGTGGTGACTTAATGACAGGGCCCTTCAGGCTTACAATGCAAGCAAGCCCATCCCTAAAGAGGACTCAGCCATTGATTTTCTCTTTCAAGTTGAGAATTTTCAGGAGCAAACTGCTTATAAAGTATAGGAAGTGCAGCTTGAGAAACGCCGAAAATGGTTTTCTTGCAAATAAGACATACCACTGACTGTCACTTTAACATCTCAAATTTTGTGATCTGTCAGGTGAGTACAAGGAGAAGGTTTAAAGATGCGTTGTTAATTTCAGCAAGATGCAACTTTGAGAATTGTATGATGACGTAAAAAAAATGACTAAAACATTAACATTCAGGTGCGCCATCTTGAATTAGCACATTTTTCAGAGCTGGAAAATGGCGTCAAAACAAAATCTGGTAAGATGCACAACAACTCAGCAGCCCTCAGAGCTCCTCGGATTGCTGAACAACTTGCTGGGCAACCACGAATAACTCGTGGCAATCAGCAGGTTGCCCAGCGGTAGTTTAACAATAGTCCACTGAGACCACTGAAAAACCTGATGAGAAATTGACAATGCATCTTAAGATCATCACGGTTGGTGACATAACTTGTAGCACTTAATTTCTGGAATGAATTTCCCTCTTTCAGAAAAAGATATAATGCTTGTGGTATCAAGGGTGCAAGAGTGGGAGTGAGTATTTGCTAAAACGTTTTTGCTCCTCCATCTCAATTTTTTGACCTTTCGGACTATTGCTCTCACTGTCCAACGAATGGTTTGGTTCATAAATCTAACTTCTTCGTAAATTATATCTATAAGTTGAGTGAAGGAGCAAGAGTGCAAGCGTTTCCAGCAAGGCCGCTGAACAGATCTCAGTAAGTATTGAATCAATGCGATACAACAAAACATCAGCGTGTAGTAACTATTTTTAAAAAGGTGGGAAACAATATAGAGCATGCCAACACCAGAACAAAACCAATTAATCTTACCTTTCGATGAGAAAATCAAAAACTTGAAAGCAGAAGAATGGGATCATACAGCCAGGCTTGCCTCTGCACACTCCATAGACAAACAGCAGGGCAATGCCACATGCGCTGAGAGTAGCAACAACCCCAACAAATCTTTCACCTGGAAAATTACAGTTAAAATTTGAAAATATTTATTTTTTCTTGTTGCAAGATGAGAGATAATCCTCTGAAATACTCACCTAATTTTATCAGACCAATAGGTAAGGACAGATTGCTTGGAGACTAAGAAAGCAGAATAAATACTGGTTCTCTTGAAAATTATTAACTCTTCCAGCTTGAGTAAAACAATTTGGTACTTATCTGATTTGTAGCATAATTTTAGAAAAAATGAGAACGTATTATTGAACTGGGTTTTATTAAATTCAATCTCAGATGCAACAAATCTGAAAATTCACTGAAAAACTTGTGTTGCTCACACCTGCAGAGGTGCTCACAAATTAAAATGCAAAACTCAAATGCAGTTAGGAATTTGAATTTTAGAGGGAAAAAACATAAAAGGCACGGTAAAATTATAAGTGGTTGTAATAACTTTAAAATTTTATTTAGAACACACAATCAGAAGTAGGAGAGCTCATAAAGATCAGGCAGATAGTCATGAAAAGAGTCGTAATCATCAAATGGATGTAGTTTCAATAACAAAACATACCTACTTTTTATTTAGCTTTATATCAACCAAAGTTTCAGCTCCTTTTTTGAATTGTGGCTCATCTACCAGAAAATGAAAATTGAGGATGGCTCCGGAGGAAGGACCCACTAGACATGGGTAAGTTTGTTTCTAAGCTCTGCTTTTACCGATACAAGTGGGTAGCAATAGTTTCAGCTACGCTACCATTTGTCTGGGTAGCAACTGCTAAGAGAAGCTGGCACACCTTGACTACATATTAAGGGCTCTTTCTTTCAGAATCCTCCTTAGACACATCTTATCGTATTCAATGATATAATTAAATGACTGCCAAATCTCCAAATAGCCTGCATTGCTTGTGTTAATGAATGTGTCGATGGTGCTTTTTTTTTTTTTTTTTTTTTTTTTTTTTTTTTTTTTTGTTCAAGCGGAAGTGAAAATCTGCTTTCTCCCGCACTGGATTGAGGGAGCACCTAAGTACCACAGTGCCCCCAGATCCGGCGGGCCCCGGGGGGGGTTTTCCAGGCCTACTCCCAGGAACCAGATACCAATCGCGGCCCAGACCGAGTGGAACGTCCCGGGCATCGGTCTGGGCCGCGATTGGTATCTGGTTCCTGGTATCGATGGTGCTTGTAAAGGTGTGAAGCCAGGAAACTTTAAAAGTAATTCTTTAGCTGCTTTTAAAAAACCGTAACACACCAGAATTAGAGATGTAGAAATATTCATTAAGCCAAGGATAGGAGTGCGAAAGGAACATTTTTCTCAGCCCAGATACCAGCTGCTAAGCTTATGATCTTAGCATTTAACAACAACTGATGTTTTATCTTTTGATGTTTTTATGGATACTTACAGCCAAACATGTTTTGAGCAGCAGCATGCGCCAGCTGAGCTAAAAGATAATCTGGAGATTGGCGGTCGGGTTTGATGCCGACAGCATTGTTAAAATCATTATCGGAGACTGCTAGCGAATCTCCATCTGATTCCTCAAGAGTGATGGAACTTAATTCAACACGTTCCAAGACAAATCGATCATTGACAAGGATGACAACTAGTGTCAGCATATACACCATCTAAAAATAAAGAGGAATGTTTTAAATTTCAAAGTGATTTAAAGAAAAACATCTATGCTCTTTTGAGATTTTGATCTATGTAAATTGCAACAAGTAATGTTACATCAGTCAGAAAGACACTGACTGATTGCAATTTTGACACAAGTCTTTGTTACATTGCAACATTATTTCAAGGCCTCTCCTAGAATAATTAAAAATTACAAAAAACCATGCTCCACTGAAACTTGAAGCTGATAATCTGATAAGGGTGAGAGCTGATTCTCTGAGAGATGCCATAAAATTATTTAAAACAAATTATGACTAAAGTCTTTTCACCTCAATGCAGAGATAGAGACGAAGGATGCAATTGTTAAAATCTATTTGTGAGAGTTAAAATCTAGCACTGTCATAGTTGCCGCAAAAGTTTAAAATTGAAATTTTATGAACAGTTTTTAGAGTTCTTTAACTTTAAGACAATACCAGATAATAAATAATTAATTTGAAGGTTTTTTGATCCTGATACTGCATGACCTGAAGCTAAATCACACAGCAAGTAAAAATTTGCCACTTTGGTAAACAAAATTTTTCTCTGTAGTGCTTTTCTACTGCCTCCATTTGACGAAATTCGAAAACTTAAAAAATTTGAATTTCTTGCTCAGAAATGAAAAACATTCCAGGCCTCCTTGCAGAATTTCTTCACTTTTCCAGTACTTCCAGACCCCCCTTAAAAAATCAGTACTATTTTCGGACTTATAGACACCCTGAACACCCATGGTTTTCATTTTGAGATACAAACAACTACACTGATTATTTTTTTCTCTCTTGATTTTATTTTTTTTTTTTAATCTACTACCTACCTTACGCTCACTCAAAGAAAAAATTGGAGGATACTTACAAGATGAAAAACTCCGTAGAAGAGGGCAGCTGATCTTACATGACAACAAACAGTGCGCCAGTATTTGTTTTGGCGTTGCAGGCCCATTTTAAGCTGCAACGCTTTCATCCTGTCTCCGGATTTTCAACCTGAAAAAAAATTTAAAATAACTTCACACGACCACACTTGAAAACAAATGAAATTATTTTAAACAAAAGAATTCTCTGAAGAATATTTGGATTCTGAATTAATACTTAAAATATGTGTAATGCAAATTGCGTGAGTGCATGATGATTAAGGGTTCCACTATTTCAGTTGCAGGAAAGTTTTCTGAAAATTTTACAAGTAACCCAAAAATATCGAAACTTCTGACTCCTTGATAATGAATAAAAATCTGAGTCTGTCCGATGCCTTACAAAACTTGTTAGTGACTACATAAATGTGTCACTAGGGTGCTATGTCATGTTCGGAAATAGAAGGGCAGTTAATGTTGGAAGCCATGAATGAATCTGGTTTCGGAATAATCATAGGATATCATTACGAAAGTTCAATAACAAAAGTTTCAAGTATGGCCCCTTCCTTGAAAGGTCACATACTGAACTGTGAGAGCAGTTTAGTGTAAGCTCTATTCTCCTCATGATAGGTATAGGTTCTGTTTGAGATTATTAGCCAAAACGGGTCATCCTCTTAAATCTTATCCGTCCTAATTGAAAAAGAAGCAGCATTATAGCACAAAATTCACATGAAATAAATAAAATCGAAGGTGTAAGTTGGCAATCACATAACTTGGTTTGCGACATCGCAAACTTCCTGTCATACTTTATTTTTTAAGCGGAAAACTACTCAACAGCAATTCTTTACAACTGCCGTGATTTCTCTTCACTGTACGAAGAGAGTTCAGCATGAACTTCAAGGAGTGATGTCAATTTGTTCTCCTTTAAAAAAACAACAAAGAGGCGGAGATTTTCAGACACTGCAAACGAGATATATGATTGCCGACTTACAGAGTCGATGTATCTTAGAAGTGGGTAACAGTAGGCGGAGCTAAATCTAGAAATTTTCAGTCCTGCTTGAAAAGTTGAAATCAGCAAAATATCAGGCATTTATTCAGACAAAAATTACGGATATTTGGGCTTAGGCTTCCAAAAAATGACACTTTCAGCCCCGAGTGTAGTGTGAGCGCAATAATTTTAAGGTTAAGTCTGGTCATGGCAAGGACAAAAAACTTTCGTTCAATGCAGGAGGAGCTTAGTGAAAATAAAACGTATAGAATCTGCTCGAAAATTTGAGAAAAGCGGAAATCGAGTTGGATCTATATGACGAGATTTTTCTTCCACTGATAAAGATCAAGGTAAAGTGGAGGCCACATAGCAGCATATTGATGAATTCTGATGAAAGTGAAAAGACATTTCAATTCGCTGAGCTAAAAAACATGAGCCTAAAAGTATACCTGGTGAAAAAATCTGTTGGAGAGAAGAAAAAGTCACAAAATGCACAAAAATCACCAAATATTCGTCGAATAATCACACACCTGACGGCATAAACAATAACAATTCGGATAACGATTTGTTGACAACGTCAAAAACCGTGTAAGATAAGCGTCACGATGTTGTCAGATTTCCGTGCGAATTTCGTACACGTCCTTATGTATATCCAATTTTTAAAACTAATTACAAACGATTTGACATCGAGGCTCATTGCTCATTATAATTTAATTGAAATTTCGTCGTCAATGCTTCAATTAGATGATATCAAAGGAACAACAATGACAATGTAGCTGTAGCGGCGTTTAGCTCCATACATTTTCGGGTAACAGAGGCAATATTGGTCATACCCCCTCCCACCCATGTCCTCACCGCTCATTGCGCCCAACTCGGTGTTGTATTTCACCGTCTGGCTGCACTTTCTGGAGCTTTCACTTGCACTTGCGAACTTGAAATGAAATTTCCTGTCCCTGTGCCATGTCTGTCTGCGTTAGACTAATCGATAAAGATGTTAAGACTATTAAACTACGTATTTCGAATGCGGAGTTTAAAAATGTCCGCATAGATTTTCTTTTCCCTAAAGAGTACTCCGCGCCTTTGAAGTGGGAAATTTTTGGGAAATATTTTTGAAAGTACGGAGAATTGTCGAATTAAATTTTGTTCAAGAAAGGTGATCAGGCCCTCTTGAAGAAAAATAAATTCGCACTTTATGCATGATTCCTCTCATTGACTCGCTCCGCTGAGCATCGCTGGTGAGGCGGTTAGCGTCTGTAGTCAAAACGCCTTCACTCCCGTGCATATGCAATACGGACATCCATGGAGCTCGAATAGTTGTATCACTCGTACACAGGCGTTGGGATGAAATTCGTTCAGTGCCGACGCATGCGACACGAACCGAAGGTTTGCTTGTTTCTCTCTTACACCATGACTAATTCCAGCTTTGCCAATTGTGCCGATAAAGGTAAACCATTAATGATTTTTACCGCGACATTGTCAATATTCCGATAAATGCATTTTTAAATATCTTACAATTTTGCCGGCCTTTGGAATTGCAAAAGAATGAGGTATGTACTTTCTTGCCAAATTTGGCTGGCTAAGCTGTACAGAACTTGGTAAATTGATTAATATGTATTTTGGCTTGTAGCTCGACGTTTTAATCAATTTACTAAGAATGAGGTATTTGGGTATGATGTGTAGAGTTTCATTTAACCCACTTTAGTGAGTTGTCCATTTTTTGGGTTGGTTTTTTTATGTTTCTTTTGGGAAAAATAATTTTGACATTCTAGTGCGAAATTTTCAAAGAGCAATCTTAATGAATCGCACGGAATTTTGAACAAAAACTATGACCATACGTCTTGAGAGAAAATGAAATGTGACAGGAAATCTGTAACATTATAAGCCTAAATACACGATATGATTTCCTGGGTGCAATGGCGAAACTATATAGTCTCAAAGTCTGGTAAATTTATATTCGTGAAAATTCCATTATGTTCTGCTCTTTCCTTCCTGAAATGTGTTCTGCGTCTAAAAAGTTGTCTATTTTAAATTCGTCTTCGATTTCCCTGCATATACGTAACAAACATGCCGGGAAACGAGAACTGTTATCCATTCGAGAAACACACATTTATCCATTCCATAAACTTTGATAGAGGCACTAAACAATAATGCGTGAACCTGTTGGCAAGTACCGTCCACTTAAGATCCGCCTTCGATTTCGCCGCATAGGCAAAAAACACACCAGCGAGCGCGAATAGTTGCCGATTCGACAAAGGCACATTTATTTCGCTTACAATCTGATTAAAGATCAATGACTTTGCAGACCTTCGGCGGTAGGTATTGCCCATTTAAAGTTCGCGTATCATTCCCCTGCAAAATTATTAAGCATGCTGGGAATATAAGAATAGATATCCATCTGAGAAACATACATTTTTCTCGCTCCAGAAGCGATGATTGAATGGAGCTATTGGTTTTTCTTCTGCTACACAACTTCTAAGGAAATTGCAACTCGACGCACCCCCTGGTAAAAATTGGCAGTAGAATCTGTGTTTCAAAATACCATAGACCTAAAGCCGGCTGTAAGATTTTCAATAGCTTCTATAGCCGGCTGCACAATTTCTTATAGCCTTTTATAGCCGATGGCGATTGAGCAACAGCCAGGCGATAAAGCGTATGATAAATGTTACTAATTACGGATGCTAGGACTGTTTTTGGATTACCGCTCTATTTTTGGGCCGTAGTATCTTGATTTACTTTGCGCGGAAAGCTCCGTACTTTTGAAGGATGCCTGCCATTCCTAATATGTTGGAGCGTCTTCAATTTCGTATGATACTGTGCAATACCTCTGGTGTGAAATGCCGTGGCACGCTGCTGCGGCGCGGCGGGCGGGCAGCCAGCGCGTAAAGCGCCTCAGCGCCTACAAACCTAACAGGGATACTTCACGCATTGCGCCATGCGTGAAGTACCCCTGTTAGGTTTGTAGGCGCTGGTGCGCGCTTAACGCTGGCAGCACGCCGCTCCGCTCTGTGTTAGGCTCCAATATAATCTTGCGTAGTAAGTGTTTTTCAATTCATGATTTTGAAATGCTTGCATATCCTGTATGGATTATTCTCATTTTAATTGATGAAAAAAAATATGTATTAAAGGAAAATATAATGTGTGTTTTGTGAATATTATGGTGGTTCCGTATCAAACTTAATAATTTCCAAAGCACACGAATTTCTACAATTTCTTATAGCCTTTTATAGCCGATGGCGATAAAGAGTAAAGCCGGGCGATAGGAACTATAGCCCGGCTGCATACTTTTTTATCGCTTCATATAGCCCGGCCGTATGATTTTCTCCGCTTTCTACAGCCAGCTATATGATTTTCTATTGCCTTCTTTGGCCGGCTATAAGAGTTCCTACGGTATTTTGAAACGCAGCTCCTATCGCCAATTTTTACCAGGGCCATGATGCGGTGTAAATGAAATTCACGGCGCTGCACGTGAATAAAACCAGATTTTCGGTCATTTTATTCAGAAGTCCTCCATTTGGGGGCCCTACATAGCCTAATGTAGCCCGCGATGACTAAACGTATCAGAAATAGATCTTTCAGTAACTTTATTTCTCTCTCTCCGTACGTACATGTACCTTCTCTATTCAAGAATATTTTACGATGAGCTCTTCGGCTGACCCAATTTGCAGTTTTCGTGATAGTCATATATCTGGAGATTTCTATCTCAGTCAGTTGCGTAGCTGAAGGGCTCAGGGAATCCTAAATCCGGCCCTGTCGAATGTAATGCATAATTGGACTACACTTCGTAATTAGGAACTACAATTTCTGGCTCATCTGTAAAAACACTTATGTGCATAGGAAAACTGAAGGTACATACGTTGTTTCTAACCTGAGCCGGAAATTTAAATCATAATTGCAAAATGTAGTCTAATTAGCTCTCTGTTACGAAATAGACACATCATCGAGGCGGGGAAAGGGACCCTAGTCCATAAAAACTTCAAACTGCATTTTCAGCTCCAAATCGTAGAGAAGTGTTTTTAATGGTTTTTTCCCCTGAAACTCGTGCTAAATGTAGTCAATTGTAATTTCTGGCCACAATATTACCATGACTATTGATTGCGGTGGCGAAGCTCGAATGATCGATATCTCCCAATTTGAAGCTGTGGTAAAGAATCGATTATTAAGATACTCGTTACGAACACCCTGTTTATCGATCCTTTTCCATAGGTTCAAATGGCAGATCAATCGATACATCGCAAAGTATGTTACGCCACTTATTGAAATAATTTTGCGGAAGTCTCGCTATGTTCGACCCTCTCCTCCTCCGTCAGACTGTTGCGTACACGGAACAAATTAAATCACTGATTTAACAATAGTGTACATTTGAAACATTGCAGTCAGTTTTTTTAAACTATTGAATTGTTAAATCAGCAATCCATTTCTTCCGTGTCTTATCAGGACGCCCCCTTAGTTCTCTAATTATGGAAATACAAAAAAAAAAAAAAAAAAAAAAAAAAAAAAAAAAAAAAAAAAAACTGAAAGATATTGTCTACATACCTAATCTTAGGATAATTCGTGAGAACTCGAGTAATAGGGAAAACGGATAGGGTCTTACATATCCACGTGTGCCTAGGTGGAGGGGAACGATTAGGACGTAAGTATCTTCTTCGGCCTGGAGATCCTCCCGCGGTCGTAAAAAACCCGAAGTGTCAATAGCTCTCCCGTCTTCGCTCGGACAGTTCGACAGCCGACACGGCGGCATTCGACCACGTGAGTGATTGTCCAGCGCCCCCAACCCCTCCCGCCCACGCACCGAATTCACCGCGACTCGGAACAATATCTCATAAGTTTCACGGTCGCGCTTCGGAAAAACAACGCGTTGTCAACGATTCAAGCTCCATGTTAATGAGTTTTTTTTGGTTTTATGGTTTTTGAATTATTTTTTCAATACCGTCGAGTTGCACGTGGATAGTTTAATTTGTTCGAACTTTCTTTTAACGGTGGGAATTTTTTCAAGAGGGGAACGGGTTTGCCGCGAAAGTCTTCGGGCGTTTGTGAAGAGCATTTCCGGTCAATGGGAGAACATATGATAACGATATTGTGACCATCCGTTGACGACTTTCAGCAACTGCCAGCGTCAGGTAAGTGAGGGACTATATATGGATGGATTTAAGTAGAATCGGACCCTGTTTTGTAATTAAGGGACCACGACCCTTGGCTAACGGAAAAAAAAAATTGTCAATAGTTTTCCCATACAGATGAACTAGAAATTATATTTCTTTTTGGCAAAAAGTGGTCCAATCAGTTTTTTTACGCAACATTCCACTTTGAAATATCTGAGTAGTTTTTTTTTTTTTTTTTTTTTTTTTTCCAAATTTCGTGAAAATATAGTTTTGTGACATGGTGTTGTTTGGTTATCTTGTAAAGGATACAACGTGGGTCATAGGAAAAAATTTGGCGGCGTGGTAGGCGGTCAAGATGGACCCACACAAATCTCTCAGTATAATCTAGAAGCTCGAAATGTCAGTTTTTCCACTTACTTTTTTGCGTGGTCGTATTTTCCTACTCATTGTTTTAGGATCACGCGCATTCCTTGAACTACTTGGATTTGGAATTCTTCCCTCACAATTTTCCTGAAGTGAATCTGAGAATAACGTAAAAAATAACTTACATCGTCACTTAAAGCTGTCAAGGCTGTAGCTTCTTCCTGTATTCGTCTTTAGCCGATCCGTCTTATTTTTCCTATGAGTCTCGGAATATTATTTTCTCTGAAGTTGTAGAGGGATCGCATTGCCAAAAATTTCGAGACAATAGTCATGGCTATTCTTGCTTGTGGTTCCTGGGAGGGTAGGGCATACCCAACCCTCCTAATCCGAAATCTTAGGGTAACATATCATATTACTCTCCGATCTGGACAAGCAGTATTGAGGGGTTGCAATAACCGCACGTGACACTCCGCCAAAATCCGCAGGCGAATTTATCTTTCAACTACACGCATTATTAGACGTATTCGATTCGTGAGGGTTTAGCTCTCTGGAGCAAGAGCACCCTCAAGAGATTTTACAAATCGCGGATTTCCTCGGTCTGATACCCACAGAGAAAGTTTTACGCACGCTCCAAATATAGCATTTTAAATCTCGTTTTGCCGTTTCAAGAGGTGATAGGACCAACTGTAGAAGTCAAAGAGGAATGATAATAAGGGGCAAGAAAGATGCCATGCTGCGACGGAGATCAATGATTATGGAAACTATGGGAAAAAGCAGAGTGCCTACAGAGGGAGAGTACGGAAATGTCAGTAATTTTAAGGGTAGGTCGTGGAGCTTTTAGGGCGCAAAAGGACAGCCAACCTATTCCAGCGTGGTTCATTATTAGGATGGTGACGACTCGTCGTTTGTAAAGCATTAGCAGTTTTTGCATAAATTAACTCATATGTTAGGAAAAAAGCTAATTTTTGGACATTCTTGGCCATCTTGGGTTGATATTGGAATCTGAAAATTGGCAGTGACATTATTTGTGTTAGGGGGTTGGCTGCCCGTTCGGGCCCTGCTCCATATTTCGACATGTCCGCACTCTCCCTACATAGGAACTATAGGAAAAAGTAAGGTGGAACAGGATACAAATCAACGTGCTCCTGAGTCGAGAAATTGCCTACCTATGCGCATTGAAGGCGAACATATGAACGTGCTAAATATTTGCTACTAAATGCGTATTGTTGCTTGTATGTTTGTTTGGATCGACGAGAAGCCTCGCATAAAGGAGATTAGTTGCATTTTGCAAAAAGGATCCAAGAACATTCCAATGTTGCTAGGATTGTGCAACTTACATTCATTGCAATAAAATTACTGGAATCGTGCAAAAAGTTAAATTGACCAAGGTAATTTTCGTCTTGAATTTATAGTTAGTTGGGATTAAAGATATAACTTGTTTAGATGATCAGTTTATATTTGCAAAGTATAAAGAGTTGCACAATCTTAGCGACATTGAAATGCTCTTTGTTCCTTTTTGCAAAATGCAATCCAGTTTTGCTAGTGCGAAGCGGGTGGCGGCAAATCTTGCAGGTGTACAATATTGCTGTTCTTCCATCTAAATTCATTGAAAATATCGACACCAGGTGAGTTTACCAGCCTCGCTGAGAATCGATTGTTTTACTAACGACTAAATGGATGCATTTTGCAAAAAGGAACCAGCGGGATTACAGTGTTTTCAAAATCGTGCAAATTCTTCTTTCCTTTCAAAAATACTTAATATATGTACAGTGAGTGCACAGTATTAAAATTCCATAATATTTTCCAGTACCATTAAGAATTTTTTGGTGGGAAGCAAAAAATATTTGATATTCTGAGAGATTTTTTAGATACTTGGGAAGGAGCAACATTTTTACACACGATTTTTCGGTTTTCGGCAACACTTTTTTCGGTTTTTATAACACTGTAATCGCGCTGGTTCCTTTTTGCTAAATGCGATCCAAATGGAGAAAAAACATTGTCGCGAACTTGCAAAAATCGCCACTGGATCCGCCGACCTGACCTAACCCCCTAGAGGCATACGATGCAACTGGTCTGGAGACGATGTCCTTTGGATTGCTAATCCGGGGGTCATCGATTTTATTACTTTCTGTTAAACGTCAATGCCAAATCAGTTCCCTGCCAAAAGGCCTGACCCCGTCAAGACGAATCAGTACTTTCGTGACAAATCACTGAGGTTTCTCATCGGCGCGCTAATGTGATCACTGAGAAGATGTTTTAAATAATTAATTGGTATATGGATCTGCTGTCTCCTTCTTCTTCGGCGCTCGAGCCAAAGCTAATTTTTTAACATTTGTAAGTGAATAATCTTATACATTATAATATCAAATTAGTTAAACTTCACTCTGAACGCTGCGTTAAGGAGGAATAAGTGCAATCCAAGGTAGGCCATGACATCAGTTCTTGATAATGCAAAATTTTCTCCTGTTACATTTGAGGGGATTGGAGGACAAGGTGCATAACTGCAGTTTTTTTTTTTTTTTTTTTAAAAAAAAGAGAATTTATGATTTCAAGTAAAGCCAGTCTTGATGCATATTCTGTGAAAAATTTGCCCCCAAATTCCAATTTTTAAACATCAAAAAGTCAGTTGGAACTTTCTTTCCGCCATAAGGTACCATATAATTTCGAAACTTTAAACACGTATTTTCTCGGAATGGCAAAAACTGCACTTATGCGCTTTGTCCTTTAAGCCCCTCGTTTTTGTTTTGGAGAAAAACCTTTAGGGGTGTTAGAGTGAAAACTTCGGAGATATAAAACTAGACACTCGTACATGATACGACTGGAGGATACTTCTCATTCTAGATCACACATAAATCTCATGAAAAACTTTAATTTCAGTAAGTAGGTACACATCGTTGCAATTCGAGGAGGAAACTGCACCAACTACGATGCATTTCGATAATCCGAATTCCACTCAAGGATGCCCGCCATCATATGCCTCGCTTGTTATTCATGACCTATACTTTCAATGTCCAATGCCACCGGTAGAATGTAGTTTCATTATCCATTTATCTATTGTTCACCTCATTTTCCTCAACTTTATGGACACCGGGGAATCAATCATGCGTTTCTCAGAAGGAAGTCACGTAAAAAACGTTTGGTTTCTACACTCAATCCGGTCGGCACCGCAATAGTATACTTTCTTGATACTTGCCTTTCTTTTACATCAGTCCTAGAAAATAATGCTGATTTCCAAAGAAAAAGGAGGGAACGTACCTTAAATTTCCTCAACCCTGCGATTTTTTGCTCATTATAGGTATTCATTTTACAGAATGCATGATGATTTCGTCATTTTCGGTCTTTTCCTGGGTCTAGAACTGGTATAAATATGAATCTGAGGGCAGATTTTGGCAGAAAAGGTGAGTTTTGAGACTTTGTGGTTGGGCTCCAAAAAATCCGCAATATTCCCTAAAAATGGCCTCTAAGGCAATATTAAAGACAGTATTAGATCCATGAAGAGACTTACAAATGACTAAATTATTATGTATTCCGTAAAATGGACCGCGTTAAATAGAAAGGAACCAAGCGCCATCAGCTATTGCCAAAAATTGGGCGGTTTCGTTTTTTACATGAAAACGGTTGTGCGGATTTTCGAGCAAATTTCAGTGAATTTTCTCCATAGTGCGAAGCAAATTTCTCACAATTTTCAAGGGAATCAGCATAAACGTTCTCTCGTAAAAAATTAAATTGCACAATTAAATTTGGCAATTGCTGTGGCTTGATTCCTCTCTGTTGAACGCGGTCTAAATACTGCTCTTCAATGAGCAAAAATCGTAGAGTAAAGGAAAATCAGCAAGGATGGGCCCAAAAACGACCCTTATCGATACCCCTCCCTCACGAGCATTTTTTTTGAAGACCCTTCTAGCTACGAACATGGGTCTCGCAGTTTCACCGTTGTGAATTCCAACGACGAACCATCATTTTACCACTAGTTCATGTTATAGACAATTAATTTAAATTAATTTAATTATTTACCTTATCAACCTCTCCTCATAATAACGGTATTTCTGTTTTTTTCACAGAACTTTAAACCGAGATCAGTCTGAGACAAGGACAAAATGGCGCCTGCGGTTGGGGGTAACGACACAGATCCGCTTCGCGTTCAGCTGGAGAGTTTGATGGTCGATGTGGATGACTTCTTCATGATCACCTGTGGTATCATCATCGCAGGTTAGTGAGAGTAAAAACACACAAATGAGCATCAACTGCAAAATTTTTGCGGATGTCAGTAAATACATCGATGGCCAAAATGCGAAACCACGAATCTCTATTTTCGACGTTGTAGACTTGTTGTCACACTTTATTTTTTCATTGGAAAACTAGTCAACGTAATTTTACAAGCTGATTGCAGTAGACGCACAAGTCGTAAGACATTAAGTTGGATTTTTTTAGGCAACGTGCGTTAAAAATCAGCATAAAACTTAAAATCTCAATACAGAGGGAAAACGCTCATATGAGCACAATTTTCACTCAAAGAGATAAGTACGCTGTTTGGTGCAACACTAGTAACACACTAGTTTGAGGGGAAATTGTGTTCATATGAGCTTTTTCCCCTCTGTATTGAGATTTCCAGCTTTATACTGATTTTTAATGCACGTTGGCTAAAAAATTCCAACTTATTGTTCAACATAATTTCTTGGAAACTTCCTTGAATTTTTTTCTCTGTTTGCAGAATATTCTGTATCAATTTCAAGCCATAAAGTTGGCTTATTTATCTGCTAAAAAATAAAGAAGGAGGGAAAACCTTGAAACACCGTAATAAAGATACGTGGTTTTGCATTTTCGTCATCGAAAAAGTATTATATTAGATTTAATGAGCATGTTGATCTGTAATATTGAGCAAAGAAATGGTGATTTGATCGATTTTAATATCCATAAATTTGAGAGCGACTGGTCAAAAATTTGCGAAACTTCGTTCGTAGACAAGATAAAGGGCCTGGCTAGACTATGCGACCTTCTACCGTCTATGGAAAAAGGAACATACATCCGCAAATATTAAAATAAAAAAATACAATATATTAAAAGGGTTCGGAGGCCACAGATTTTCAACGCAAAATTTTTCATTTTCTGTGGCTCTTGAATTTATTGAAACCCAAAAAATATATTGGAGTAGCCTCTTTGTGATTGGAAACGGAACGGCTGAGTTGATTTGAAAATTTTCGAATTTTCTCAACAATGTGATCAGCGTTTCTGCAATGACGCAGAAAACCCAGGAAATATTCTAACGAAAAACATATGATTAGTCTCCAAATATATATTTCATACGTCATGATCCAGTTGAGTTCCGCGAACTCAAATATTTTCATTAATGAATTTCCTTCTAGCGTAGGTACAAAATTAATTTTCTTTATCAGCCTAACGAACCGCGAGTTGTGATTCATTCGCAATTGTTAAGTATCACACAATGATGCTTTATTTTGAACATATTATCATCCGCATTAAGACTCCACTCCACATAGCATAAGTTAGATAGATAATTCCTATTGTGATCCTCAGCTAAGTGCAGAATTTTTTCATTTACTGAAAATATAATGCGGAAATATTAATAATGCGAGCATTGACGTGCGCTTTGAGGAAAAGAACCTTTTAGCGACACAAAATGTGCAAAATTTGAAAGAATTGCAGTCCGACCCTGTCTGAGATCCAGCCTGCGAAACACATTCAAAGCTATTCGTCAAATAATTGCGAGAAATCGGGATTTGAAAGGTCGGGTCACAATAGGCAGAATTTATAACATCCGTTTGAGTTGATTTCTCTTTCTGAGCACGCACTTGTTCGATCGGCCATGCAATGCAATAATCATAATTTTGTTACTAAACGCTGTTTTCCCTCTCCCTCTCCGTTTCTCGCGCCACAGGCGAATCAGACGTTGATCCTGGTAACTACGAAGGAGTCAAAAGAAAATGATTATTTCCTCACCCATTTGAATATTCCACTATGTTAACATCTTCTGAACGCACTTTTTTCCGATTTTTGATCCCCCTCCTCCCCCCCCTT